TTGTCTCGAAAAAATGAAGAGTATATTTTAAAAGATGGAATTTATGGAGTTATGCCTTATGTTGCCCCTGAAGTTTTATTAGATCAAAAACATACACCAGCAGCCGATATATATAGTTTTGGTGTTATTATGGCAGAGATGACAACTGGAATATCTCCATTTTATGGATATTCATTTGATATTGATCTCGCGTTAAAAATTTGTAATGGAGAGGACTTGGCTTTGCCTTAGGGGCTCCTAAGTGCTATATTGAATTTGCTAAATTATGCATGCATTCAGATCCACAACAAAGACCTACTGCTGAAGCAATTCGCTCTAAGCTTTCTGAATGGTATGATTTTATAAACCAACCGAATGAGTCTGATGATGAGTCTTATGAACTTTATGAATCTGATGAATTTGATTATAATTTTGATGAACTTAATGAATTCGACAAATTTAATGAACTTAATGAATCCGACAAATTTGATGAACTTGATGAATCTAATGAAAAATTAAAAATCATCAGTGAATTTATGGCTGCTGATATGAGAATTCAAGAACTTTCAATAACTTTACAACAACATCCTGATGTTAAACACGCAAGCAGATTTATCAATACTCATGAAATTGCTCAACAATACAAAAAAAGAAGCAACCAAATTAACATAACAGATGAAATTGGTGATTATATGTGCTATTTTAGCTTATTTCTAATGTTATTGTCTTAGTATTAACATTTATCGTATAATATAGATTCCAAGTTTAATAGCGTGAATATACCGGACAATTGACATACAGTAAGTCAACAGATAGAAGGGAGGACTTTAAAGTTGCAGCTCAGCTTTTATTTAACTCTAAATGGGCAAGATAGTTACTTTCAACGGTAAAAATATATAAATGAAACTCAAGAAATGTCTTGCACGTGACAATTTTATCAATGCGACGAGGCATAAAAAGGCACAATTTTGTGAAAATTTGTATTTACTATTTGTTTAACAGATCTTAACTAGAGATAGTACATGCGCATGATGCGTGTGCGCATTGTGAGCATGGTGTGGACTAATGATGCCGACAATGCTCCTGACAAAACCTGATAAAAATATAAACTACTACGTAATAGGTTTATACTGTTTATATTTTTAACACCTTCGATTAAACCGTAAAAAAGTATCAAAATATAAACTTATAAAACTATAGAACAATAAACTAATAAACTGTATTGTTTTTAATTAAATTAGCATTTACATTGATATGTATACTTGCAATAATACAATAAACCAATTTATTATATAATTTTTATATTTAATTTAGCATTTATATTGTATTCCTTAAACTGTATTCTAGGCAAATTTGCCTGGAAAATTGAATTATATTTAGTATTTTTTAAATAAAATAATAATTTATTAATAATATGGGATATATATTTAAGAAGCTGGTATTCATACCTCTCACAGAAATTAAAATTTTTTAAAACTTTGAACGAAGATATCTTGACATCCATCTGATTAAATTCAATGAATTTTTTTATTTGAATTCACAGATCTGCAGAATTCAAATAAAAAAATTTATTGAATTTAGTCAGATGGTTATCAAGATAATTTTGTTCAAAGTTTTAAAAAATCAAAATGTCTATCAAAACTAAGTCAAATTTTTCTAAAACTTTGAGCCAAGATATCTTAACAATCACCTAACTAAATTTGATGAAAATTTTTTTATTTGAATTCTAAAGATCTGTAGAATTCAAATAAAAAAAATATATTAAATTTGGTCAAGTGGTTGTTGAGATACCTTCATTCAAAGTTTTTTTTTAAAAAAAATCAAAATATCAATTAAAACAACACCAAA